CTGCGGTGGTGCCCTGACCCTCCCCTCCCTCCGCAGTGGTTCCCTGAGGTCACGCATTTCTGCCCTGGCATACCCATGGTGCTCATCGGCTGCAAGACAGACCTGAGGAAGGACAAGGAGCACCTGCGGAAGCTAAGGTCCGCACAGCTGGAGCCCATCACCTACACACAGGTGTGTCCACCAGACCCCCACCTACACACGGGTGTGTCCACCAGACCCCCACCTACACACGGGTGTGTCCACCAGACCCCCACCTACACACGGGTGTGTCCACCAGACCCCCACCTACACACAGGTGTGTCCACCAGACCCCCACCTACACACAGGTGTGTCCACCAGACCCCCCACCCCAACACCACCTACACACAGGTGTCTCCTTCAGACCCCCTACACCACCTGCACACAGCTGTGTCCACTAGATCCTCACACCATCACCACTTATACACAGGTGTGTCCTTTGGAGCCCCCACTGCAACTCCAACATCACCTACACACAGGTGTGTCCCCTGGACCCCCACCCCAACACCACTTACACAGATGTGTCCATCAGACCCCCGCTACCCTCAACGCCACTGACACATAGGTGTCCACTGGACCCCCACCTACACAAAGAGGTGTCCCCATCGGACCCCCACCCCGACCACCTCCTACACACTGAACCCCCCATTCTGCCCACAAGTGTGCCTGCTGAACCCCCACTTCAACCCTGTCCATCACTTGGAAGTGGGCTCTCCAGACCCCACCCTGGCCATCACCTACACACAGATGGGCCCGCTGAATCCCCCTCATCTCCCCCACTCATGCATCACCTACACACAGGTGCACCCACCAGACCTGCACCCCACCCCGCTGGCCAGAGTCCAAGTGGTGAGCATGGTCTCTGCTCCTGGCCTGACTCTGGCCTTGAGGGCGCTGGAGGAAGCACTTCTCCTGATTTAAGGGTTACTCTGTAAAGTGTCACAGCCCCGTGAGGGGAGATCTGGGGCCCAGAGGGGCTCAGCAGCTGGCCCAGGGTCACACAGCACTTGAAGGGCTGATTTAGCACCTACCCGCCTCCTGCCTGGCCCACCAAGGCCGCTCCTCGTGAGCCACAGGCCCCATCAGGCCCTGCAGCTCCTCGGGTAACTGTTACAGATGATTTCCTTCAGACCTCTCTCACTGCTGCCAAGTCTGGGCCACCTCACGGGACACACCTGCCCTCTGGTTCCCGAGCTGGACGTCTTTACAGAGGCCACTGGAGCAGCCGGTGAATGTGGACCAGCAGCCTGTTAGGAACCCAGTCCTTAATCCAGCATCCCCAGGGTGCCTAGACCCCCTAAGGTCCCCCCAAATCAAAACCAAACCCACTGCGGGAACGCCACCTCTCAGCCACCCTCCCAGGGGTTCGGACACTGAGGAGACCTCCCCCACTGCTTCAACAGTGGCTGGTGGGTTCAAAGCCCTGACCTTTCTGTTAGCAGCCTGACGCCATCCAGACTACGCCACCAGGGCTCCCTGTCTTCAGACCACGGAAAGACATTTTAACAGAAAGGAACATGCGTTAACCAGAGAATGTGAGGGCAGCTTTGCTCACTAGCTCCAGTTCAGAGGCTGCAGGCGCCTTCAGGAGGACGTGGGGAGCCTTTCTGTCTGCTGTGCAGCCCCCCACCCCCATCTACAGCACCACCAGGCACCCTGTCCCTGTGCACGTGGGTGGCTGGCCCAGCATGGAGAACAGAATGGGGCCCTCTGGCCAAGCCAGCTCTCCACAGGGGGTGTCCACTGCTCCACAGGTTTCCAAGGGTGTCCTCAGGACGGAGCTCACTGCACATCTTTCTGCAGTTCAACAGCTGGTCGGTTGGAATCCCAGCCTCTCAGGGCTCCCCAGGAGGCCTCTAGGGGACCCTGGACTCTGACCCGTCCCCTGCTGTTCTCTCCCTGCCTAGGGCCAGAGCGCCTGCGAGCAGATCCGGGCTGCACTGTACCTGGAGTGTTCCGCCAAGTTCCGGGAGAACGTGGAGGCCGTCTTCCGAGAGGCCGCCAGGATCGCCCTCAAGGCCCTGAAGAAGGCCCGGGGGCGGAAGCACCAGCTTTGCGTGCTGCTGTGACCTCGGGGGGGCCCCACCAGGACTGATGGCCTGGGGTGCCCGGGGCGCTGCCCCTACCCGCCTCCTGAAGGCAGCTCGAGGCTGGGCGGTCATCTCCAGCGTCTGGTGTTGGGGCCCGTGCTAGACTCTGGGGTCATTCTGGAACCCTCTCCTGTCCCAGCCAGGGCTGCACTTGAGCTGTGGGCCTGTGGTGAATAGGGCTGCTGGGTTCGCATTCCCAGGGCCTGGAACCAGGACTCTGCAGAGCCTGGGTCAGGCACTTGTCACAATCCTGCTCTGTCATGTCAGAGCGTCCACTGGGCCACGTTCACCCCCTTCGTACACCCAGCTTACGTCTGAAATGAAAACTGTACGGTCCATGGAAAAATGTGGGTCCCCTGGCTGCCTGCCCTCTGGGTCCTTGAGATAGGCATGGATGCATCCTCCACTCCTTCCTTCCTTCATTCCCCCAGGAAAGGGTCTATCAGAAAACACAGCCGCAGCCCCGGATGTGGGCCAGCACCCCCTCCTCCTGGCGGGCACAGCCAGCTCAGCTCAGGCCACTGTCCTCTCAGACTGGATACCCAGGTCCGTGGCGGAGAGGAAAAGGTCAGAGTATGCCCCCCGATGCCCCCTCCCACCGCTGCCTGCAGGACTCAGCACCAAACCTTGATGGGACGGCAAGGTGGCCATGGTGCCGGTGACCAGGGCAGGCTGGGCAGCGCACGGGACTGCACGATCGTCGAGCTGGGCATCAGCTTGTGAGAAGACAAACCCCCACTGTGCCCAGCTGTTGGTACTGCCTGTCCTGGGTTCAAGGCTGCAGGCTCCCCTCTGACCTTCCCCGAGCCAGGCTGGCAGGACAGAAAACTTGAACGCACCCCACCCCTCGAGGCTCCCAGATGCTCTGCCATGCTTGGCTTGACAGGATGCTGACCGAGGACCACTGGACCCAAGGACTTGTACACACATGACGTATCGGAGGTTGGCAAAACATGGCCTGGGGGTCATACCTGGCAGCTGCCTTTTTATGAATAAAATTTTATTGGAACACAGCGGCATTCATGTCTGTATCGGGGGGGCTGCCCTCACTGCACAGTTGCAGTACTGCATAGTGTCACAGACCCTGTGTGGCCTGCAAAGCCTCAGTATTTATCACCAGACCCTTTTAAGGAAAACGTGATTTCTAGTTTAAGGCAAACCAAGTGTCAAAAGGACCAGCTGGCAGCCCAGCAGTCAAGGAGGGCAAACGGGCTTGGTGGGGCCTGTGGTAAACTGGGAAGGCCGCTCCACCCTGGCAAGCCCTGACCTGCAGGAATGTTGCCAGGAGTTCACATTTTTCTAGGGAAAGTCGAAACTGGGGCTCATGTGGAATTTCACGAAGTGAGAGGGAGAATCTCATTTTAAAAATGTAATTAAAACTTTTTTTGTTCAAAGTCTTAATCCTCAAACACCGCTGTCCAGCTGATTCTGAGCGGCCCCCAGGTCTCCAGGGCCGCAGGTCGTCTGTGCAGCAGCGGGGGGATTTGATCCACTCATCTTTGAAGGAACATCTCAGTGCTTCCTCAGCTGTGCCCCAGTGCTCCTTTTTAAAGTCCCATCGAGGGGCCAAAGTAAACTTGCCCGCGGTCATGAACTGGGAATTCTGGTCTTGGTAGAAGTGCAGGGAAATCGCTAAGGGAAGTGGAGGTGCGTGTGTGGGACGGGGCAGGACACTCAACAAACCCACTGTCCTCTCCATCCATGTGCCAGAGAATCGAATGCCAAGTGATCCTGGAACATTCTAGATCCTCCAGGGACAAAGGAGGGCGGTAACCTCCGTGATGGCTTAAATCCCGGCCAGGTTGAGGGTCGTGGTCCCTCTCCCTAAATACTCACTGCAAAGATTTGGGGAGGTGATCTGAGGGGTGCAGGTCAAGACCCCAAAGGCTTTCCTAAACTGTGACTCGGCTGCCGGTCACTCAGGTGCTGGACGCCCTCTGGCGGCGGCCCTCTGAAAGCATGCATGGGTGTCCTGAGTCCAGTCCCCCAGGCCTCAGGGAAGCCAGCTCCCTTCCCCGGCAGCATGGAGAGAGTGGGGAAGCAGGAGCGGGAGGCAGAGGCAGCCGGTGGTTCTCTGAGAACTTAAATAACCCCCCAGCCGGCAGGGGTGTACAGCAGAAACGGGGTGGCCCAGGCGGGGTGCTCTGCGGGCCGCTGGGGGCTGCCTGGGACTCTGTAAGTAGCAGGTCAGCATTACTCCACACCCAGAGAGGCACGTCCAAACCCCTGCGGAGGGGCCCCCTGAGGCTCTGGGCCACTCCCCAGGAAGGCTGAGTCCTGGCCACTGCCGAGGGCCAAGGGGAAAGCCTGGTGTGAAGATGGGGACTTAGTATTAAATATGCTCATAAATAGGGGGCTGGGGGTTAATACTGCGTGGCGGGGCTGAGCTCACAGTCCTTGCATTCGGCCTGGCACTAGGGCCCTGGCCATGCTCCCTGCGACATGCTGGCCTCTGAGACCACCGCAGCCAGTGGTCACGGCCAGGCCACCACTGGGGACGCCATCGGCAGCAGGGGCGCTGAGCAGAGTCCCACGTGCAGCCCCCAAGGCCAGGGCCCGAGGACGCACGCATCCCAAGGCTCACGGCTTCTTGGTCTTGTCTCTGTTCTTCTGCAGCTTGGTGTGTACGACTTTGAGGGTGGTCAGGAAGTTACCGAGGAAGAGGATGAGGAAGGTGAGGGCCAGGACAGCCACCTGGAGGACAGCACCCGGAAGAGGGCAGTGTGGGCGCTGAGCAGCCCCCACCGCGGCCTCACCCCAGAACATCAGACCCCCTTCACACTGGCCCTCCTTGGCTGGCCAGTCGGGGACATGTGCCCATAAGGAACCCAGGGCACCAGGGCCCAGGCAGGAAGGAGGGCGGAGCGAGGCCATGCTGCTTCTGTCCTTGGCATCACTGGACCCAGGTGCTGTCCTAGCCCAGACCCATAGGCGTGGCTTAAAGGACAGTGAGTGGGTGGGCTGACTTCACAGGAGCTCTGAGAAGCCAGGCCTGTCAGTGGGGCCGGCAAGGGGGTGGTCCAACCCCTGCTCCCCCAACAGCCCTCCCTGTGGGCCCCCCACCTTCCCTACCTGCCATTCCTGGCATTCCTCGTGCCTGGAGAGTTCAAACAACGTGACCGCATTGTAGAGCTGCCAGAACTGGAGAGAGAGCCTGCTCAGCCCTGCTGCCCAGCCCTGTGCTCAGCCCTGCTGCCCGGCCCTGTGCTCAGCCCTGCTGCCCGGCCCTGTGCTCAGCCCTGCTGCCCGGC